CCCTGTGACTACAAGAAATAAGAGATTTTTTTTTAAAGGCTGCTGTGGAAGCTCTCTGGTTTGCAGACCATGATTTGAGCTGAGAATTAAAGGACCAGAGCTTGTCCTTTTCTTCTGTAAGTGCTAAAGTGTTATATGCAACAAATGAATCATTGAACACTACATCAAAAACTAATGATGTAATATACAGTGGCTAACGGAACATAATAAAATAAATAAATAAAATAAAGTGCATCCAAGAAAGTCCATCTCACACCCTAGTATTTATGGTCATTATTGCCATGAGAGTCAGTATAGTAGCAAATTAGGCTCCCAAGGCATATGCTTCAGTAGGCTTCATCACAATCAACCATGGGTAATAACTTGGTTAGTTGTCATGCCACTGCATGCGAAGGATTACTAGTATTCCATTTCTTATTGTCAAGGAGCTCAGCACTGTGTTCAAGCCCAAGGGTGCAATGAAACATCCCCAAACCCCGTCTTTGTGAGTCTGTCCCCTAAGACCACTCCACTACTGGTATGAGTTCTGTATTATTCATGGGCCAATTAAGAGATAGAAACCACACAGTAGTCAAATTGTGAGAAAGTTTAATATAAAGGCTTATTAACTATAACAAGGGGTTGAAGTAATGGGAGGATTGACTGGGAAGCAATAAAGAGAGCTCTGAAGAATATAGGGATAGCAGATATAGTGAGCAGCCACTACCCTCCAGAGCTGACATCCATTGGAGAGGGTGTGGCCTCATTGGAGAGGGTGTGACCAAGGCTCACTGGATGGCAGAGAAGGTCACTGAGGCTGGGAAGCAGCCCTCACAGAAGGGGAGCAGGAGGAGAAAGCCCTTCACAGAAGGCGCCATGCCAGTGGCCCTCCACCAGGAAGCTGCATGCTCTTCTGAGCATTCCTGCACTGAAGCCTGGTGCTACAGAAGCCATGGACATGGCAGGAGCCTGCCAAGAGGAGCACCCCAGAACCTCCTTCTCCAGCGTCCCTCCAGTACTCTCTCCTGACAGAGCTTAAAATCTTGCAGTGGGCAAAGAAGAAATATTTACAGGGTCCATATTAATTATATCACAGCAGACAAGAATGAATTTAGAGCTGAGAGGCATAAATTAATAATTGGTACCATACCTTGTCATGCTGAATTTTTAGCTTTGACATCAAAGTCATCGATCTTCCTCTTAGCTTTTGTTTTTCATGTTCTATTTCAGAAATAAGTTTGTGTTTGTCTTTGTGCATGTGTATGTGCGTGCGTGTGTGTGCGCGCATATAGATCTTGAATCCATTCAGGATTCATTTTGTATAGTGTAAGTGACAATTTATTCTACTTCAAATAGACTCAACCTTATTCTTAATTTGAAAAGCTATATATATCATATTTAGGTTTATGTATGTAGATGTTTCTCTGGTCTGTTCTGTTCCATTCATCTACCTATTTATTCCTTTACCCAGGATACATTTCCTTGTCTGAACAATAAGACTTGGATCAGGACTTTACAAAAGTCTGAAGAGGGTTTCGGTATTTGTAGGAAGGATAAAAAACTGTTAAGAGAGGATGATGTTTTTAAGTGAAACAAATAGAAATAAGTGCTCTGAAATTTATTTAGATTAATCTGTTCTGGTTTTTCACTTGCCAATAAATACTGCTTAGCAGCAATGCCCTCTCTCCTGGTTCCCACCACCTCATCAGCAATCTAGAACCCATAATGAGAGGTTGTTGCTTGACCAAAGGAAAGGCCTAGGTTGTAGAAATGTGGATCAACTCTTAAGTTCTTAAAACCTAAGGCCAAACCCTACCTCACCCAGGACATTCGGATATAATCATCTCAGTCCTTCCACACTTTCTTCATAGTACTTTAATAAAAATTAGGTAAAGTTTTAATGGAGGTTAGAATCATTTTTATTCATTCAAATGCTCAAGGAAACAAAATGTGGAAAAGCATATATGATTACCAGTCAGGTCCTTATGGGATTATGGATGGAGCTGTGCGAATTTGAAAAGCTGAATGTTGAACATTTTCTGCCACACTGGGTAGAAAGACGTTGTCAGACCTTTTTTTGTGTTTAATAGGTACCTGTAATATAAAGATTAAATAGGTATTGGAGATATCATTAAAAGTCACTGTTACTCATAAGACCAAGATCATTGGGTCAGTCTGGGTTAGGCCATCTAGGGTGCCTTCTTGTATTTGCCACTTGTCATAAAGGGAACTGGTCATGAATTTAATCTATCAACAGAAAGCCATTTTCATCTAAGGAAAAAAGATACCCCATATGTGGAGTAATCTAAAAGTTCCTTAATAGTTTATCATTTGTCTTAGCGGAGTGTTTTGTTTTTTAGAAAATCATCGGCGGTCTTACATTCCAGCTATGTATAAATTCCTCTTCAGTCTGTATTTATCTGATTTGTCTTATAGGCCTTTCTTAAGAAGCCAGAGCTTAGATTCGAAGAGGCTCCAATTCTTTTGTGCCTTTCCTGGACCTTAGGCTTTTTGCTTGGGGTTTTTATAATGTACACAAGTTAATGGGCCACAAAACACTCCCTTACTTACTAGGGTTTGTTTAGACCATCACCCTTTTAAATCTTTCGAATACAGTGGATCTCCTCAAATGCATTTAGTGACTTAAGCAGCCTTCTCAGCCATGAGTTATAATCATCAACTACCTCCATGAGAGCAACATTTGCTTTTGGGAGTGAAATGGGGATGAAGTGAATCTTAAAAGCCCTTGTGGTCCCATACACACCAACTGAATATTGCTTCCTTTTGGAAAAGGCTTTTTCAGAAACAAACAGCCGTATACTAGAATTTCACCTTTTGGTGAAAGATGACTGCACAGAGATTGGTAAGTCAAGCAAATGGCGGGCATTAATAATGTGGTCCTACTGGTTCAAGGACCTCAAATGGATATTCCTGACCTGTTTCTTCCCTTTCTGTGTATGACTCCTTAACTGCATGTTCAGAAATACTGCAACAAATGTTTGGTCCAATAACCAGACCCTCCGCTGTAGAATTACACCCTCAAAAAAGACCTTAGAATTGGCATATTTTCTCTGACAATATGACTAAATCTTTTTCTTTTAATTTTCCTCAAAGCAAGAGGCAGGAATTCTTAAATGTGTTGACATGTAAACTTCTGGAGGGGATACTGAAAAACAATGGGGCAAAGAGTGTAATACTTATCAAAGTAGTGCAGAGAAGGCAGTGGAAGAGCGTGTAAATGTTTTACATAAACTAAAAGCTGAAATGCTAAAAAAAAAATTCATGTACGTGCTATACCTTGACCTAATCTGTTCCAAGAATTTCTCTGGAGGGTAGATTTCTCACATGTTTTTAAAATAACTTCTGAAACTTTCTGCTCTGCCAGGGAACTCAGATAAGTGATCTCATGCTGCTAGTTAATTATTGTAGATGATGGAAGAAAAAGAAGAAATTCGGAGAAGAAATTCAGAGAGAGAACACAGCAAGGTGTTGATACTGACTTCCACATCCATTTGTTTAATTGTAATTGAGTAAGTGCTTTTGGGCTGAATTGTTTTGACATCAGAATTCAATTATTGAGGAATAGCATCAGCAAGATGGCAGAGTGGGAAACCCTGGATCATCCTTCTTCCCACAAATGCATTGATTCAGAAACAATTCATGAACAAATTCCACTGTGAGAAATCCAGAATTTTATTATCTAGACCCAGGTATCTAGATAAGAGCCTGATATTTTTAACGTAAGTTTGAAGTGAACCTAAAACCACAATTTCATATTTACATTTTCATTGTTTCACATATATAATCAAATTTATCATTACTTACAGTGTCTGGCCTTTGAATCCTTCTTGTTATTTTACTGCTCATAAGATTAGTCTTTAAAAGGTGTTGCTGTGAGTGTCTGGATGATGTGGGCGCAGAACGTAGGGAATACTGAGCCCAAGGTATAAGGCCTATAATGTTAAAAAATATTAAATTATATCTCTGGTTGCAGTGTATAAGCCTAGATTTAATCCCTAAAATTTTAGAGCTTAAAATGAACATCTAATCCAGCTTCGTCAATTCTGAGTGAAGATGTCAAAACTTGGAGGGAATCTTTTGCCTGAGGGTCACATGACCAAGTGAAAGAGAAGGATATGATAGGTGACTTGGACTATGGTGGGTAGAAGTGGACAGACTTAGGGATATTCAAATTAATCAGACTCAGTAATTAACTGGATTTGCAGGGTGACAAAGAATAGCTCCTAGATTTCTGGCTTAAGCAACTGGATAGATGTTAATTTTATTTTATGGTGGATTTTATGATCCTGGCACATATATACTCAGTAGGTCACAAGATTAGAAGGGTAGATGGGTGGGAAATATGAGTATGTAGAGAGAAAGCTGATAAAAATTAGTTCAAGACCCCTGAAAAAGTAGGACCAGATGGGAACCCATGCATTGGGACTGGCCCCAGGAAGGGGCACCTTTTCCATTTTATCGGGAAGGATGGAGAAGCGGCTGAGTATTTAATGTAGATGGGCTGGGTTCAAGATACAGAGGGGGGTTCCCATCGGATGGCTTTTAACTGCTATGTGAAACTGAGGTACAGTGTTGGCTGGAGAGGAGGACTGTGTTTGAAGGTCTGAAGAGGCCAGGAAGATTTAAAATAGTTACTGGGAAGAGGAGAGAGTGAGCTGACCCCACCCTCAGCTCCAGAGGAGGGACATGTGAGCTGATCCTAAGCGCACTGAGCGTCTTAGTCTCTGGCTTTAGTGATTTGTTCAAACCCGGGCACGTGACTCGAGTCAACCCAGTCTGAGGCTGATTCTTTTTAACTGTCCCATCTCCGCACTGACTCCTGCCCGGTGAGCTGAACAGAGCAGGGGAGCTACAGCGGTGGCAGCCATCTTGCTCCCCAAGGGGCTCCACTTCCTCTCTGCTCCCAGTATTCTCAGAGCCCAGAGGCGGCGAGAGAGAAATCGGTGCTCGTGAAAAACGTCAAACCCGGATCAAGCGAACTGAAGCCAGTCTGCCTCTGAACATTTCACAGTGTTGTCAGCCAAGTGATTTCATTTGTTTTTCCCTTAAGTATTTTAAGAATAACTGCACTAGAACATGCTATAGTTTCCCAGGAGTTGTAAGATCCTAAGGCGAATCCATGCTAATGCCAAGTAAAGAGAGCTCGCCCCTTAACTCTGCCTTTGCCTCTGATGCTTCTGATGTTGGGAGCATCATAATCAACATTTGCAGTTATTTAGTGTTTCTAAACAACAGAACAAGTGTTTTAGTGTTTCTAAACAATGTGGCAGACGTGCATTATTTCGTTTAATCCTCGGAATACCCTTTTGAGGTGGAGAGTCCCAGTTTACAGAGAGGCTAATTAGCCTGTCTAAGGTCACATAGCTAGGAGTGACAGAGCCAGGATTTGAACCAAAGCTCACACCCTCAACCACCAGGCTACACCGGAACAGAAAAGCAGAGGCTTGGCTGATCTTAATAATAAGTCAGTTGTGTATACTGATATTTGATGATATTTTTGATAGTCAGATCTAGAAAAGAACTTAGAATGTATTTCATCCTCAACTTATAGGGGAGGAAGCTAGTTTAGAGACATCCTGGGTTTGACCCCTGCTCCATGCTGCTTGCTTCTACATTGCCCAGAGGGCTGTTTTGATTGCCATTTCTATAGGACTCCTCGGGCCCCCAGCTCCCACGAATCATAATATACTTTATAAATAACATCTGAGAAATGTCATCATTGATGTCCCAAGGCATTAAGACAAAATATAGTGAAGTACCCAGTGTTCTGTAAGTGGTATATTACACACTTCTGAGACCAGTTTTTATGACTAAAACCTTTTAGCATAGGATGTCAGTACTCTAAGGTGAACTAAAGTAGAAAGTTATGACTGCAAATCAGAATGAAGTTTTTTTCATTCATGTATCATTCATTCATTCAACAGCCATCATGGAGCACCCACTCGATAACCACTGCGTTGTTATGGCTAGACCCTGAGATCCTCCTCAGTGCAGACCCCAGACCCTGGGAGTTTGTGCTAGCCAGAGTAGGGGACCTGCTTACTGCCTGGTGAGCTCATCTGGACAGACGATCACTCGGCGTCATTAAGCTGACTTTGTAGCTCTTGTACGCGCTGGAAAGCATCCAGCTTCACACTGCGCTCCTGGGCAAGCCGGCTTCTCATCTGAGAGGAAAAGTGCTTAGGAAGCAGAGATGCTTTTTGGTGCATACTTAAGTTCCTGGGGTTCCTCGGAGAGTGTGGGTCCAGGCTGCCCCAGGAATACAAGTCCTCATACAGTCCTGGTCAGGCTGAACTCAGCCTTCTAATGAGAGCTCCAAGAAGGCCAAGAACTTAACCAAAGAGGAATAGAGGCAGCCCTTGGAACCCCTTATTACCTTATCATAGCCAGGAGTTCACTCACAACACTTTTATCTTTTATGTTTATCTCATCACAGGGGAGGGGAGGAGAGGAAATGGAGAAGGGCCCAGTTCACAGAGGACCTTGTGGGTCAAAGCCACGAAACTACCCCAGGGATGGGAGGGAGCCCCTGGACAGTTTCAAGCAGAGGAAAGACCTGATCCCTCTCCCAGATCTCTGTTCGGTTCAGCTCATCATCTGCAGGGACGCCCTGAGCACCATCTCCCAGGCCTTATATGAGACCCCTACCAAGAGGTGACCTTTGTATTTACTCATGTGACTCTCTGCTAGCACAGCTGGGCCTTGGACCCCCAGCCAGACAGTGGCTGGGTCCAAAGTGCATCTCATCCACAGAGAGCACAGGTATTTTTTTCTTTTGAAACTTATTTTTATTTATATAAATATAAATTTATATAGGTTATACCAAGTAATTTAATTATAAAAATTACCTAAAAGTATAAAAAGTAATGTAATTATATTATAAAATTATGAAGTATAAAAAAGCAATAATAGTATAGTGGATTGAATAGTGCCCCCCCCAAAAAAATTCATGTCTACCTAGAACCTCAAAAGGTGACCTTACTTGGAAATAGTCTTTTCAGATGTAATTAAATTATGATGAAGTCATATTGGATTAAGAGTGGGCCTTACATACAATGACTGATGCCTTTATAAGAAGAGGAAAGGGTTCAGACACACAGAGTGACACCTAGGGAGAGGGCCATCGGAGGGAGAAGGCAGAGATCGGAGTGATGCAGATACAAGCTAAGGAATGTCAAGGGCTACAGGCCGCCACCACAAGCTAGGAGAGAGGCAGAGAACAGCCTCTTCCTCAGAGCCCCCAGGAGGAGCCAACATCTTGATTTCAGGCTTCTGGCCTCCTGAACTGTGAGAGCATACATTTCTGTTGTGTTAAGCCATCCAGTTTACAGTGATTTGTTACAACAAACTAATCCACATGCTAATATAAAAAATTCAGCCACATGTGTTTTAAATCCTACTCTTGTCTGCATGGACGCAATGAGAAGGCCTGTGAACTCTTAAAGCTGTGACCACAGGCTCATCTTACAAATGTTAAGGGGCAGTTTCTTGTGTGTGCAGATGCTCTCAAGTGTAGTTTAACTTTCAGTAGGAGATCAGATCCCCAGAGTTAGGAAAACTTCCTAATACAAATTAGGTCCAAGGTCCCTGTATGTACTCTAAGGATTGGTATAGGCTCCCCAGTCCCCATGCGCAGGAACCAGGAAGAACATGTCGAGACTCCCTGAGCCAGGCTGGGGCTGAACCAATTTGAAAAATATTAGCAAAGGAAAAAAACATGCATAGGAAGGGCCTTGTGTTGTGTTAGGACCTTAAAAAGGATCCCACCTCACTTCACAGAGGTAGGTGCAGTGATTTGCCCAAGATCCCACAACCAGTTAGTGGCAGAGCCAGGATCTGAATCCAGGTCAATCTGTTTCCAAAATTGTCCACCTTCATTCATATTCCCAGCAAAAAGACATATAGCCAATATTTGTCAAGAGCTGTGTATCAGTTTCAGTTCTAAATGCTTCATTGGAATTACCTGAGTTAATCCTTCTAAAAAATCCCACGAAATGAGTATATTGTTCTCCATTGTACCAATGAGAAGACTGCAGCACAGAGAGAGCACCATCTAGCCTAAAGTCATGCAGTGGAGGGCCCCAGGGTGTGAATCAGGAAGTCTGAGTCTAGGGCCTCTGCTCTAAATGGTCTCCCCAGGAGCAGGAGGTAGGCAACGACAATCATGCTCTCCAAGGTCAGATGATCAAAATCTGCCCTTGGAATTGGAGGTTGGAGATGGATTAAAGAAGTCACTGTGGGTCGTAGGGGCTCTTGCTAGCTGAGGGTGGATTGCTAGTTGGTGGGGAGTGGGACAGTAAGCCCAGGGGCACAGGGGCTGCTGGCAGAGGTAGAGGGGTGGTTTAGATTGTTACATACATACACTAAAAACATGTATTTGTTGAGAGAAGCCTCAAAACATTTGTTCTGACTACTTTTAGATTCTCTACCATTAGACAAAAATTAGTTGTTAACTAGAGAGGACTTTGAGAAACTAACACTTTATGTATGTATGTATGTATGTATTTATTTATTTATTTATTTTTAAGTAGGCTCCATACCCAGTGTGGAGCCCAATGCAGGGCTCAAATTCATGACCCTGAGATCAAGACCTGAGCTGAGATCCAGTAGGACACTCAACCGATTGAGTCACCCAGGCACCCCCTAACACCTTATTTTTGTGGTGGTTTTTAGAAAAGCATAACTTGAAAGATAAATATGTGACACCAAAATTTTCTTAAGGATTCAAGTCATATTTTAGTTTAGTTTTCATAAAATAAATGTGAAATTCTAATTTTCTTTTAGTCTAAAGCTACTCGTTTTTTTCTCCATTTCTCCACAAATATTTTCTCTAGCATTGCCTCAATTCAATTTTTGCCCTTTTTTATTTTTGTGGACTTCTCATTGATCTCCTCCTTAAGCACCTGAAACACTTGGCCAATAATTTAATTTAACTGTCCAACTTCTGTTTCCTAACATCTCTGGTGAATTAATTAAGTGATTTATTCCTTTGGTGAATGCATGAGAAGTGCCTGCTCTAGAAGGTGCTACTTCTTTTGCCTTTTGTATTGGATTATATTCTGTGGTCTCCTTTGTTGGAGCTTGCATTAATCCACATCTATATCTATTGTTTCTTCCTCTTTTTTTTTTCCTTTTTTTTGCTGTACGGGTATATTTAACAAAAATATATTGTGTCTGGAAATCACTTTTGCCTTTCCTTTTGTCTCTGAAGTTCCAGAAACACCTTGAATAAAATCCTCTTATAATAGCTTCCATAATACTTGCTGCTCTTCCAGATTAACTATTGGAATTTTCTAAAAGATCCCTAGTTCAAAAATTATAGCCAAGTGAAAACATGTTTTTCATGTGGGTTATAAAGGTGCCAAGATTCTGGGCCTTGAGGCAGTGAAGCCATCATCCTCTCTCACCATAAGCAGCCCAAGCATCACCCCAGCGTGGGCAGAAATACTTCCATTATCCTGGTGGGCCTAGAAATGACAAAGGTGAGGGACACCAGAGGCATGGAAAATTCCAGAAGAAGGCCCCAGCTCTGGGTGGTACATCCAGATTGTCTTCCGAGTGGCAGCTTCCTCTCTCTGGAGTTACCTGTTGGAGTCCTCTCTGACTTCTCTTCTGCTGAAGCTGGCCCAGTCTGGAAGCCCTCTCAGACGCTTCCGTCAGGAGCTGCAGGTGCTGTTCCTTTTGCTCCACATCTTCCAAGAGCTTCTCCATGCTGGAGGTTTTCATTAGATCCATCTGTTGCCAGTGGCGAGCCTCCTGGGTTGCTCGGTGTTGCAACTCTCTCAGCAGTTGAGCCTGTGGCAGGAAAAGGCCAAAGGAAATGAAGAAGGCACAGAGTCTTTCCTCTCAGCAAAAGGGGAATGAGAAGTTGCCCAACGGGATAACCACCCCCTCCAGTAGGGCCCAGGGGCACGACTCTGTGGCATACTCCTGGGCTCAGGATCCTAGAGCCTGGTCGTTCGGTTCCGGGCTACCGGGCAGCAAGACTACCAGGATCTAGGCCGGCTCGGCGTTTACTGTAAGCCCTGAGGCAACAGTCAGGGAGGGAACAAAAGAAACAAACAGGAAAAGCCAGGCAAGTGGTAATGCCACCCGCAATACCAGGTCAAACAGTTCGGACTTTCGGTGCCCAAATGTGATGATAATATGTATGCTACTTAGCTTATTAACCACATAGGTTTATCTACCTCAAACTACATGTGCAGTGTCCCTGAGCATTAATCACGAGATAGCAGGGAAGGGTTGGCCCGTGGAGAAGGGGTGATGTAATACACGCAATGAGTGGACAAAGGAGGTTCTAATCTTGCCTCTGTTTTGACTTCCAGAATAGCTCTGGGGAAGCCAGGTTCCAGATGGCTAAAGAAGGAAAAGAGTAGTAATAATTTGGTCCTGTTCTGAAATTTTTCTAATCAGTAGCACCATAAGCACCAGAGGGTCCATCCTCAGTTATAATACTAATACTAATACTGTTTGTATGGCGATGTTACAGTTTGCATAATTATACACCATTGTTTACCTGGTGCACAATTACGGAGGATGTAGGGTCTAGAAGGAACAAATTATATGTTAGGTTTTAAATACGCCCAGCTTTCCCAGGCTCTTACTTATACTTGCCTCTTCTCTCTCTACACCTAGGGTCTTTCTGCTTCCTTCATGCTCAGAGAGTTGGCACAGTTATCAAGGGCTTAAACTTGGAAACACCTCTCTTTTGGTGCCGGCCCCTACTGAGCAGCAGTAACTTCTGAAATGAAGACTTAGTATGGGTCATCCGGAGAGGACACAAGACTCGGTTTGGGGAATAATGCTGATGGCTGGGCCACACTCCACGTGCACAAGGTTGCTGTCAGTGGAAAGTGTGCTTGGAGATGGAAGGACTGTGTCAAGGGCAGAGACCTCCGCCCCAAGATGCCCTCTGGGTAATAAGATCCTCAGAAACACGCACATACACACTGCACCGAAGAATGGTCTTCTGTATGGGTAGTACTTGCCCGTCTTAGCCAAATCTGCACAAAACCAAAAGCCTTTTGGCCACTCTCCTTGGTTGCTGGGCTAGAGAGGAGGGAGAAGGGAAGCTGAGGTCTGGGCAGTGGTTCTCTGGCCGCGCCCTGTGCTCGGCCGCACACTGCGGAGCCCTGATGACTGCTCTGGGCAGCGATGGGGCTGCTTCCATTACCACATGCAGCTTCGCAGAGCGAGGGCAGAGAGGGGGAGGCAGAGGGCTCCTGGGGCTCGGATACCTGGTTCTCCTGCTGCTCGTGCATCCTGGTGTTGTCGGCCTGAGCCCTGGCCAGGGCCTGCCTTCGAGCCAGTAACTGTTGACGAAATAAAACCTCTTCTTGTTCTGCCATTAGCTGGACGCTCAAGCACTCTTTTTTACTTTGCAGAGCTTCCCGTGAATGCCCCAAACACAGTGAGATGGGAAATAAGTTTTCTTTCCATAGTTTTAGTTTACAAGAGTCTCTAGACCACTTCAGTTATCCATCGTTTTTTAAAGCTTCCGGTAGCAAGGAGCTCCCACTGGTCACTTCCTCTGTGTCTTTGCTTAAGTACAGTGTGACAGATCAGAGTAAACAAAGACTTTCAGAAACACTAAGTGAAAGTGTCCAAACCACTAGTATTTTGTGCTTTGGTTTCAATTCGCCTTGAGGGAGATTTTCGATTTGTTACTTCATTTTCCTCAGATAATCATGTTTGGAACTCAAAGATTTGCAGTATATTTTGATGAAGCTGCTTCAAGCCCTTGGTAAAGTCTCCCCCTCCATCTTTCCCCTTCCCTCGTGCTAAATTCTCTGATCTGTTCTCCCATTTGCTTCTTTGCCATTTACTTCTGGCTCTTTCCTGTTTCTCGGGAGGCTCTGACACATTGCCACTTGCCAGGAAAACTCCCCAACGGTCAGATCCTTTAAGCGTGTTGGTCTTGCCATGGGCCACCAGGCCACCCGGGCAGCGAGGCCGCCAAGGAAGCCAGGCGCCACCCACCTCGCCGCTCCCTGCTGGGCGGGGCCTCCCTCCCCTGGCGCTCACCTTCTCTGCCCTGTTCAGCTGGCCCTGCAAGCGAGCCTGCTGCACAGCCAGCCTCCAGTGGCCCAGGCTCCTCACTTTGCACACCAGTGCAGCCAGGCTGCTGCTCTCCTGCTCCAAGGCCTGCAGCTGCTCCTGCTGAGAGAGGCTCACTTTCAGAAAAGCCTGCCCCCAACACTTTTCCCCCGGAGGGAATGGCACAAATCCTAACATCAGAACCATGCCTTCCAGAGGATGACACAATTGTGCAGGGAGCCCCAGTGCCCCTTTTAAATGCCTGATGCAATGCTTTCTCGGGGAAACCACAGACTGGAATGCATACAGAGTGAGCTAGGGGTCAGATGCTGGGATGAAATGCTGGTATCTCATTGCTAAATGAAATCACGTACTTTGGCTGGGTTTTCTTTCATTCCTTCATCGGGTCTGGCAGAACCCCATTTTGTCTTTAGGCCCTTCAAATTGTCGATCCCTTCTGTTCTTACTTCGCCGATGAGCTCACACACTTTCTGGGTCAAATTAATCTGATTCTCATCCAGCTTTTCCTGCAAATTGCAGACTCAAGTTCAAGAAGGGCAGGGAAGGAAGAGTCACTTTGCCTTCTAAAACACAACTTTCAGAAATGATTTCATGTGAAAAAACCATCCACCCAATTATTCCCTCAGGTATTATCTGGAAGTCTCACTAGCAGCCCCTTTAGCGTTGTCTTCAATCCCCAGGCTTCATTATGTGGACCCTACACATCTTAGAGCCCAGGCTGTCAGCTGCCAAGGTAAGGTGAGTGGATAGAAAAGTGGAAGGTCACAGGTAGAAAACTGAACCACTCCTCTTCTCCCAAAAGGTTGCTTGAGAATTTGAACCTAGGGATTTTTGCTATCAGGTTGACTCAGCAGAATCCGACCAGATAGAACACTATAGATGAGCCACTAATGAGGAACTATATTAAAAATAGATAAAGTAGAGGAAGGAATCAGGCTGGCTACCTTCCCATTTAAGTTCCAGCAGAAATCTCATTATGAAACAGCCTGTTCTGAATGGTTTATGGATAATGGCTTGTGGTGGAAGGGCTTGATCATCGCTAAGTATAACTACAGACCCTGCATCCTTGGGTGAGGGGGGAGAGTTGGGTGTCCTCTCATCTCTGAACCACTTCCCTGGAGAGGAAAGCAGGAGGGTATTGCCCAGCCTGGCAGCCACGGCAGGATGTTTGACTGCCGGCCACATGGCAAAATCTTCACCACCCACCTGGGACCCCAGGGTAGAATAGGGATTCTCCACTTTGTGGGGGCCTGTGGAACTGGTTTAGCCTGGGAGAAGTAGAGAATCCACTTTCTGTCTAGGAATCAGGCATAAGTTAAAAAAAAAAAAAACAAAAAAAACTTAAGAAAATTTTCAACAATTTCATACCCGAAAGATGACTGAGCAAATCCCAGACTTCACTGGCTGTTCATCCCTCTCCTGCAGTACCAGGCTCAGTGCATTTTGGTTTTGACCCTACAATATTTGTAAGCACTTGTATTTTGTGGATCCTTCATAAGTAGGAAGGAATCTCCAATCCTCTCTGACATCCACCAAGGCAGAGCACTGGTGGAAGCTCCTCTCAATGGAACAGCTTCAGGGACCGGCTGGAATGCCCGAGGAGAGACAATGAAGTATGGACTCATTGGGGGGTTGGCTCTGGGAGCCGTCCAATAGCAAGAGAGGGGGCAGGTTTGTCCTGAAGTTCACATCTGTGGGGCAGCTGGACCAGGCTCTGTGATGGCCCATTTTAGGGCCTCTGTCTTACAGCTGCTCAGACATCATAAGAAAGCGACAGGCTTTCCAACCGCACCCCCCACCCTGTGCCGTGGGCACATGGGCACCCCATCTCTCCTGTTCCAGATGGACAACCTTCCCTGACAGGCCAGCAGCTCCCAGACACTGGATGGGAGAGATAGGCTGACAGGCATTTGACGGGTTGAAAACTTCTCTGAAAGCGAATTCAAATTCTGAATCTGCCCAGTGAGTTTTCAGGAGGAGCCTGTTGCTACCGACACTGGGGTCTGGCCTGGCTCAGGGCGCTGCACTCTCCTGTTTGGATGGTGGCACTCAATAGACAAAACCGTGATATCAGCTATTGGGGTTTCAGAGGAGACACCCCGCACCCTGCCTTAACAGCAATCAGACGGCAGCAACGGCAGCAGCAGCAGAGTGAGGAAAACGGCAGCCATCTAAATTGTCTAAAACTCAGTGTCTCTCGTGGCAAAATAATGACAACCCATTGCTGACCCCTCCCTGCCGTGAACGCTGAGTGCTGGAGAATTCGTGGGCCCTGTGGGCTCTTGTTACCACACACACTCTGCCGTTGATCGCTGTGTGCGCAGAGGCTGTGGAGGTCACTGAGCCTCGGCTCCCATGGGACTGCCCAGACGTCCGACACAGGTCACTTACTTTTATGTGCACACACGTCGCAAACAAAGCTCGGACTAAGTCTTCATATTCTTCCTGGACTTCTTTTCTAATCTGCTTGTTGAGATTCAGATTCTCCTGTTCCAAATCTGTGAGTCGAGCTCTTAGAGCAGTGATTTCCATGATCATAGTATGACTGAGCTCTGCAACCTAATGGCAGAAATACTGTTTTAATGGACGATAACTCAAGCAATCCAAACTGCCACTACAGAATAGTTCTTTGTATATCAGTGTCAGATTTGCTCTTCTACCTTGAATCTAATGAAAGAGGCGAACATCCTGTTGTACAAATATGGGTGGAAGAACCTAAGGTTGGCTTAAGGGTCTCGGAACAGTGCCAGACACATAGTAGGTGTCCAATGAATGGTTGCTGAATGAATGACCCCAGAAGAGACACACTTAGGTACTTTTTAATTGGATAAAATACTTCAGCTGTCTTCGTCTCCATTTCCAAATGGGCCTTCTTTGACACCTCAACCTAAATCCCTTTTCTTTGGAATTCACTTAAGCTGGCCTCAAAAGAAAACAAACAAAGCCCCCAACCCCAAACCCAAAACTAACAACAAAAAAGAAAAATCAAAGCAATAAAAAATAACAAAAAACACCAAAAAAACTAAGAATAAGAAAGCCCTTATTGCTTAAAAAGTGAAAGCACACTCCTTAGGTGTTTCTGCAGTGGATCTTCATTAATGAGACTTCTATAGGCCACTCTTGACAGGGGCACAAGAAAATGACACTAGGAAGTCCCCTGTCTGGCTACTGCTGAGAATGTGGATTTGTGAGCTGGAAAAGAGAAGCTTTTTGGTAAGAACAGACCTACCTGACCAGCGTTGTCTTCAAGTGGATCTGAACTTCTTTGGATAGTATCTAATTCCTGAAGAGGAGAAAACAATGCACAACCAAACTCAAACATTTATTCTTCCAACCACGGCTCATTTCAGCACAACATGTTCCATACACCTCGTATTTGTGTTAATGGAGCTTCATTTTCAGATCCTTGGGCTCCATCTGGAGCTCAAATGCGTTTGCTGCCCCACTGGACTTTAGGATGCCTAACATGAGATCAGAAGATAGCATTAACTTCCGGGTATCCACACTGATGCCAAAGACTTGGCTACAGGGATCAGCCAAACTGGGGGTGAAGCCGAGACTCATTTGATATTTGAATGCTTCATTTGATTTTTTTCTCAGACTTGTGTACTTTTCTTAGGTAAAAAGTAATATAACACTGAACCTCTAATGTAATCCACTTAAAACAGTGTGCAATCTAGGACAGGAGAAGTGACTCTTGGATCCCACCAGGGGAACCTCATTTTAAGGAAGTCTCATCAGTGAGACCCATGATGTACATCCTGAAGACAGAGTTTACTCAAGGATCCTGGCTTCTCTGCTAGACCAGGAACAGCACAGGCACTTTATGTTTGCTGAGGTGAGAAGGTAAGCTATGTATCTTCCCTGAGGGGCAGCTCCTATGTCACTAATGTTTCATATTCCCCACTAGACACCTCCAAAGCACACAACCCAGTGTTGCTGGGCCATCACCCTTGCAGCTGAGAAGACCAGAGCCCAAGAAAGTGAACCAGTAAGAGGAGACATTTGGGGAGTAGCTTTCACCCTCCGTTCTTACGTGAGACCACCTCCCCCACCCTCTGTTCTAGTCTCCTCTTTGGAGTGAGTCCTGGGCCTCCCTACCCATACCTTCCCCATCACACTTCTTGTCTCTCTGGGAACATACTTGCTCTTTTTGACAGAGCTTCTGCCTAGCATGCTCCAACACATGCTCATAACACATGGAGTAGCTCTCGAAGTTGCTGTGTTCTCTCGCCATCACATCACAACCCAAGGAAAGGAGGCAGGCCTCAAGGTGGTCTTTCCTGAATGTGATCTGAAAAGGAAGGGGCATTATTCACAGCAGCTCCAGCAGGATGGCCTCACGTGCCAGGGCACATGTTGCCTTAGCTCCCAGACCCTTGTCCATTTCTCTGCCACAGAGAAACATGGGCTCTGGCCTTGTGAGTCTCTCTTTCAGGTCCACTCTTAGTATTCGCAGGGCAGGGACAAGAGTTCAAATAGAGGCCTACATGCCACATACCTAAGTATGCTAGATATTTAAGGGCTATAAGTCAAACTAATAAACTATTAATTCTCCTACTTTGAAAAAAGATCTTTAAAATAACTTGGAAGGGCAGGTTTGACTTTATCATTCTTGGATTACTCTGGGTCTATGCTGAAATGTGGTGACCTAGAGAGAGCTGGTTCACCAACTTACAGTTTACAGTATGACCCCCTTCTTTTCCCACCTCTGGCCCCACATCACACTGTGGAGGGTTCTCACGTGCATGCAAATAGACACTCCGGCTATCTACATCCCTACACAGCTGCTCTGGACCACCCCTCAGGCTGGGGTATGCACACTGTCAGTAAGGCCCACTCTCCCTCTGGGGAGCAGGATCGGGAGAATTTCCAGGGAGAATTCCAGGATACCAGGCTCCTGAAGTGTGGTCTAGAAGGAAGGCCAGAAATCTGAGTGGGCATGTCCCCTTAGCTGTGGGTATTTCTCACCCTGTGAGGGACAGTGGGGCTGGAGATGAGCCAGAGGAGCCCTCTGAAGAATGAGCATCCGGCAGGGGCCCCTCTTGCTCTGGTTGAAGGGACATACTGCTACTCTTTTGGCAGTCTCACTCCTTCCCTTTCTCTAAGAGATCGGGCTCCCTTTTGAAGAGGTAGCCATTAAGGAACAGAGGAAAAGTCCATCCCTCCAAGGCAAGCTAAGATTTTGGCTCTGGAGGGAAATGGGAGCCAATGTATAGAAGATAGGACAGATCTATCTGCTTAGGGCCTGCAAGTCCAGGTGAGTGCTCACGTGTGTCTCTATGTGTCCATATCAGTGAGTGCATCTGCGTACATTTGTGGATGTTTGTGTGTCTGTATCCATTAGTGTATATGTATATGTATGTCTATGTCTCTGTGGATGTCTCTGTGACTGTCTGTATAGGTCTCTGTGTCTATGTGTGTCCCTGTGTGTGTATCAGTAAGCGTGTCTGTGTGTGTACCTGGGTGTCTTAGGGGGCCTACTCCAAGACCCAGCCCGCATGCATACATGAGCATTATCTGTGATACTTCCAGGGTCAGGAGGGCTCCAGGCTCACTGGCAGTGTGCTACAGAAGTTTCTGGCCTGGGGTGGGTCCTGTGTCTCTGACTTGCTTGTCCCTGTGAGGCCCAGTATACCTCCGTGCCCCCACTGACCTCCAGAGAAAGCCCAGCCAGGCTTTACCAAGGTGAGTTACTGAGACAAACTAGCAGAGACGGCAAACAGTGATAGAACTCAGTCCCGATGGAGTGAGGGAAGTGGGTCGCTCACCACTGCTGATGGCAAGGGAAATCAGGGTGACGTTTTGGAGGGCAGACTAGCTATATCTGTGAAAAGATTTTAAAATGTTTGTGCCCTTTGGCCCAGTCATTCCTCTTCCAGAACTTCATCTTTAGGGGATAATAAAATGACACACAAAAATATACATAAGCAGATGTTCTTTATAGTAGCCTTTCCAACAAAAAGAGAAATGGAAATGATCAAAAGTGCCTAATAAAGGGAAACAGGTTGACTCTTTCTCACCTCTCTGTACAAATGAAATACTAGACAGCCACCAAAAATTCTGCTGTGGACATAAATGTTTATTGACAAGGAAATGTGTTGATAACATGTACTCAAGTGAAAATAAGTACACTATAATAAAAGGGCATATAGAATGATCTAATTTGGTTTTAAAAAGTTAACGAATAAAAAAAATGATAAATAAAGTTTGGAAGGAAATATGCCAACATAATAATAGTAGTTGTCAGTGAGGGTAAGCTAATGAGTGTATTTTCTAATACATCATATTTCTATTTTCTAATATAATCATAATATGTATACACAATTAAGATAATTATATATGAAAATGTACATGTAAATAAAATGTATACCCTAATGAAAAGATAGTAAAGCTTTTGTAAAGATCATCAGCCACAGCAGCTTGGGTGCATTGAAGAGATGCAGAATGGAGACCGTAGATGAAACCCTCTGCTCATGGGGGATTTCATGAATGGGAGCCAGGCAGTCAGGGCAGGGTACTCAGCCTCCCTCCCTCATCTAGGGCCTCCTCAAGGGGCCCCTTCAGGGGGGTGGGAGTGAGGGCAATCCACCCTGCTCTGGAAAGTGAGCAGTAGGACAGCCAGATTTAGCTTCTGACATCAAGGCAAGGGGAACCAAGATTCCATCCCCTGGCCCTTGACTTCTTAATGGTGACAGGGTTGAGGCTACATAAATTTAGTAATGACAAAGGAAACATTTCCCAGACTGAATATGATGAAAGCCTGAAACATTGAGGAGTTGTGAGACCATATTCAAGGCCATCAGGGTGTGGCTGGTGACCCTGTCCAGGTGGGCTGGGCCCAGTGCTTGGAATCGGCCACAGGGACTCACCCCTCACTGTCCTGGACGGCAGTCTCTGGACCTGAGCGTACCCATAAAGCCTCCAGCAACTTTTTGGCAGGGCCAACACTTCTCAAACTAATATCACCATAGCCATCATAGCAGATAGCCAACAAACAGAAATGCAGATTTGAACATCAGTGGCCTTCTACCATCCCCTCTTAGCCAGTGTAATGCACCTCTGGGTGAGTCTGTGTTACACCAGAGGTGTAGGAATGGCCAGGACCCCCTTGAGCATCTCCAGAGGCCAGAGAAATTGTATTTTGTTACTGTGTTTCTTAAAAGCTCTTCTGCAACCTACCCTTGCCTTCCTAGGTCACTAAATGTCGGCTCTGTCTCAAAATGCAGCATGAAGTAGGTTCATCTTCCAACTTCCCCTTCAGGGCAGGTCCTTGGGTTCCATAAAACCACAGAGTGAAGACCATGCCCTCCCATGGGCTGATTTCTTCACCAACAGTTAAACCTGAACTGTGATGAATGGCACTGGCTGGAAAATCACCAGATTCTTCTGGAGAGCCAGCCTGGGGTGAAGCCTGGCAGGTGCTAGGCCTTGTTATGGCAAAAGTCTGGCTTTGCTGGGAGCAAATTGCACTTCTGTGGTTTGTTTCATCTTGGAGCCCCTCATAATTGGTCTAATATCAGGCATGCACAAGGTGTTTTGATGATGTTTCTAAAACCCACTTCTGCTGACAAAATGCTTCAGTGACTTCCCACTGACTCTGGGATGAAATCCTGACTCCTAAGGATTGCCTACAAGGCCGTTCAGCAACCGGTCCTGTCCACCTTTTCAATGTCCTCCTCTGAACTCTGCTATACTCCCTTCTTAAATTTCTCTACCTTCCTTCCCCAGCCCCTCTTCATTTGGCTAACTCCCATTTGTGCTTTAAGACTTGGCCCAGACAACACCTCCTCCAGGAAGTCTTCCCTGACTATTTCTTCCCTACCCCCTAGGTGGGTTGTATCTCCTGTGTATGCCTCTCTCAAAGCATTTAATGTAAAGTACCTTTTCCTGACACTTGTGGGTCACCTGATTCCATAAGCTCTTTGAGGGCAAGAACTGTACCTTTTGCCTTTAATCTAATAAAGTGCCTAGAAAAAAAAAATAGGAGATCTATAAACACTGGCTAAATGAATGAATGACTTTTGGCATATGAATGGAAATGGTTCTGGAATCCACACAATAGACTATTATAGTTCTGATTCGCAATAAAGGTCAGTCTCTAACTTTAGGTCAGTGTGTTTGGTATAAAATTTGGGCAAGATGTTAGAACTGATTGTGAAAGGCTGGTTTTTTTAGAATTTGGAGAAGGAAGAAAAGATCACTAGAGGCCAATATGGATTCAAGAAAAATCAGGTCAGATGAACCTTTTCCTCAGGAAATAGAGTGCATGCGGTGTACCTGGATTTCAGCAGCGTATCTGGAAAGGTTCCTCATGATGTCCTTGTGGACCAATGGAGAACATAGACTGGGCAACAGTACAACGGATGGGCGGCTGGCCACAGAAAGACTGTGCCCAGAGAGTGGGGTCAGCCTGAAGGGGACCCTAAGGGGGTAGCACAGGGCTTGGGGCCTGTCCTGGCATACATTGTCAGTAATAAATTCAATGAGGAGATCGAGGGCAGGCTGACATGAAGCTGGGAGGGAGAGAGAGTGTGCTGGATGATAAAAATCCAGATTTTTAGGGATTTCAAGAAGTTCAGAGTGGACTAAATTGAGTAAGAAAAAGGCTAATAATATGGCAGCAGCAGGATGCCTGAAGGCAACGTGCGGGCTTCAGGTGACTGTTAGCCTCATGAGTCATCCGTGAAGCAGCTGCCAATACCCAGCACACTCATGGGCATTAATCAAAGCAGATCACACAGGACAAGTACACTTTCCACTGGTCAGACGATCTTGCATTTAGAGGGGACTGATCAGGATGGGAGGGCTGCTCATATAAGGTGATTGAAGGACATGAAAGAGGTTTAGTCTGAAGAAGAGAAGGCTGGGCTCAGGTCCTCTGCACAGAGGCGCCCAGGTGAGGGAGGAGCCCAGCGCCTGCTCCCTTTGCCAGTTCATGTGCCCTGGCTTGGGCCGCACCCATCTGGAGGAAGGTGTAACAATTTGTAACCCACCACCCAGAGGGGCACTCGTTTGGGTTTGTGCCATCAGAGCAGGCCCTTCGTTGTAATTTTACCGAGGCTTCACACATGCTAGCAATGGTGCTTAATTGAGTTTCTCAGACTGACCTGCCTTTGGATACCTAAAGTCTTGTTGTAAGGGGTCAGAACCATGACCTGTGATGTCCCAGGGACAGAACTAGGATCCATGATGGAGATGGTGGGGAGGCCAAAGCCAACTCAGTAAGAGCTGCTTAAAACAAGAGCTACCAGGAATGGCTGGGGAGGGCAGGTGGGCTTGCAAGAGAGTGAG